ATAAATAAATAAATATATATATATATATATATATATATATATTTATTTATTTATTTATTATATTTATATGCAATATATATATATAATAGATGAGGTAATCCCACTTGTCCGATCCTTATCTCATAAAGATTTTGAATAACATCATTCAAGAGGCGTTTTCTATTGATTGATCACATAGTATTTGCTCTGCCAAGGGACATTAAAGCTTCGGTGCAGCTGCGTGTTCATATCCTTTCTTCGCTGCTTTCTTTACCGACAACATAATAATAAGTTTTGCCTTTTTCTCGTGCTGGCCCTTCGTTGTTGTTATTGCTCCTGTTATGTTGTTGTTGGTGCTGTTCTTTGCATTGCGGGAAACACTTTCAAAGGGCAACCTGCATCTGCCATTTGCTGTTGTTGTCGTTGTTGTTGTTGTTGTTGTTACTGCTGGTGCTGCTGCTTCTGCGGTATTGAGCGCAAAAGTTTACTGAACGCAGAAGAAAAAAATGAAAAACATATTACGCACTCACACAGACACACTCTTGCAATGGCCATAAGAACTTTTATCCATGTGTGTGTGTGTGTGTGTGTGTGTGTGTGTGTGTGCTCTCATGTGTGTGCGTGTGTGAAGTCGAGCTGTACTATTTACGCCGCCTTCGCTGGCGACTCCTTTGGCGCTTTATGGCGGCGACTGCGACCGTTTGCAGCGTGTCCTTACACACACTTTAAATTATTTATTTTTACACTTTGCTGTTACACATTTAAAGCTGTGTGCGTGCGCATATGATTGCGCTTGTCCATGTGTGAGTGTGTGTGTGTGTGTGTGTGTAGCTGGGCGTGTTGGCGATGTTTTTTAATACACTTGGCAAGCAACGCTATGCAGGCTTCGGCCTGCTCCAACAACGACCGAAGAAGACAAAGAACAGGGACCGCTCTTTATATTTGCACGGTTTCGCTCTCGCTCTCTCATTTTCTCAGTTTTGGGCTCTCTCTCTCTCTCGCTGTGCTATATCCCTGTCTCGGTAGTCGTTCACAGTTTCGCTCGCGCTGACTGGCTTTTCTTTTCAAAACTTGTAAATTATTTGCCTTTTGCCTTATTCCTTACACATACGCGCACAAATTGTCTTGAGTTTATGTGTTAAACTTTAGATCTCATGTTTGGCCGTGGACGGACTCGCTCTGGGTGCGGGTGGCGAGCCTTGTGTCCTGTGCTGTTGGCCATTGTAGGATGCGGCCATGTGGGCGTCATTGTATCTGTGGCCTGTGCGCCTGCATGGCATGTAAATGATATCGTTCCTTCTGGCCACGTCCATATCCACGTCTACATCTACATCTACATCCACATCTACATCCACATCCATATCCACATCCACATCCACATCTACATCCACGTCCTTGTCGTCCTTGCTTACGTCACCAACGGCGACGTCGTTTTTATTGCTCGCTTTTGTTGAAGCTGCCTGCCTGCTGCCGTTAAACAAATGAACAGCATAAATAATTGCAAAGGCTCACACTTGCACGCACGCACACACATGTAAGCGCACACGCATGCAAAGTGGGGTAAATCGCATCCTTTGCTGCATACTTAGAGGCGCTGCACGCGCCAACAAATCTGTTGAGCTTCAGCTTTGCCTGCCTCCGTTTCGAAGCAAGATTAATGAGCGATGGACTAAAAGCTATTCAAAGTCAGCTGCCAATGCAAATTCCCATCTGCGGCAGCGCAAGCAGCGACAACAACTCGTAGCCCCACCTAATTACTTATTTGATGCAATCCATAAACGTCGCCTATCAATGAGCCACCTCCGCAGGTGTGCCGGCCACTCGAATCACTCAACTAATTGCCGCCGCTCGCTCAACAGGCACTAAGCCGCCTCAACAATCCGCTCATCCAGCTCGACCGGTTGCGCCCATTAATGCTGCCACCGCTGTTAATTGTTGTTTCACCTGTCGTGTCGAATAACAAGTTGCACACCCACCCACGCCCTCCCACTAATTGCGCCTATATGTTTGCCTCTCAATATACAAATGCGATTACATTAAGCAGCTTGTCCCTCGTCCGCTCCAATTAGAAACGAACTGCACAAGAAAGCCGTGCAACAACTCAGGTTTCGATTGCGATTTCAGTACATTCGGAACTTCAAATATCACCCGTGAATCCCAATAACAACTTTTCTATATCGTATTAGACAAGTGTTCTACTAATTTTAGAAGGAAATGGAAATAGATGACAGCAGCATCACTTGTAAACTCAATCTTACATACATATTTGAAGAAGAAAGCCCAAACAAAATTCTTAAACACCTTATCTAACTTAAGTCAAAGTATAGCTAAATGTGAAGAGACAAACGTAAATAGCTCAGAGTGAGAGAACAAACTGTTTAGATAGCTCAAACGATAACCTTAAATTCAATCTATACATAGAAACTTCTCGGAAATTCTGTTTGGAACAGGTTTTGTCAATAAAAAAATACGGCTTTGAAGTCGGTTTAAGCGGTTGCCCTTACAGCTTACAGCAAAAAAAAACCCACTAAACAGATAGTTGTTTTATTTTATCTTTTCTTTATTTCTATTAGTATTAATTGTTGTTGTTATTTCCTTTTGAATGTGACTATTAGCACCGCATACTTATATTAAATTACTATAAACTCCAACTGCTTTCAGCTTTCGCTTTTGCTTTAGCTCAGTTACGTCTATCGTTTCTGTTTTGCTTCTTCAATTTCGTACCTATTCCCGTAATAGCCACAACAACAACAACAACATCAGCTCCGGTCCAGCAGGTTTTCTGTTGTTGTTATTGTTGCTTTGTTTTATTATATTTATGCGCCCAGTACTCGCTTGTGTCTTTGCCGCTCTTTCTCTCTCTTTGTCTCTCTCCCCCACAGCTGCTCGCGCGCTCGGTCTCTCTCTCTCTCTCTCTCTCTCTCTCTCTCTCTCTATCTGTTGCTCTCTTTGCGGTTGATCTGCCACGCTGACTTTCAGCGTCTGTCGCCTCGATAAGGCCGACGCCGCAGTCTGATCGTGAACTTCACTGTAGCCGGGCGTTGCTTTGCGTGTCTCTGGCGAAGAGTTGTGAAACCTAATTGTGAGTTGGCTCTATAGTATGTGCATATCTGGGTGAGAAATCGCTGATTGTGGATCGTTTTATGCTCGGTGTTATCAACATGTTAACAGCCCCAATTCGGGTCTCGAGTGTGCTATAAACTATAATTAAGTACGTGCGCGCCCTGAACCCGCAGTCGCGTTCAACTCTGCCCATTTAAATCAATACAAGAAAAAATTACCGCACTGCTTTCTTTATCGACATCGTATTATTTGCCTTTGTTTTAAAAGCATAAATGAATATAAATTCACGCCAGGTTGGACTTAATATTTCGATAGCATTAATCTTACTTCATTCCCGTTCATTCTCGCTCGCTGTCGTTGCTCTCCTGCGCCGGCTCTTGCTCACGTCTCCCATCGCGAGCCCCTTTGGCCCGGGCTCCACGTCAAGGTACATGTCCCAAGACCGGGAGAGCAACAACAGAGTACATGACATGATAAAGCAATAAAGCGAAAATTGCAACAAGTTTTCGCCGTTCCGTTACGTCTGATGGCTTTCGGCGCAGTTTGCACAGCTTGTCGCTTAAACACAATTCGATTTAAAATTAATTTTAAACAAAATAAAATAAACATGCAGCCCGTGCAAGTGTGACAAGCAACAGCAGCAGCAACCTCAACTCAATTAAATCGCTCGTCGAACTGTCGCTGCAAAAACAAGATGCAAAAAATACGTACACACACATACACATATATTTGTATACTACATACTATAAACATGCATGAAATCAAGCAGCAATAACAATACAAATGATGCTGCTTACCTCTCAATAAACATTTTCCAGTTTTTTTTTTTGTACGCGCATACATTTATTTATCCACGACTCTCAGTTTATTTATTGTGATTATATTGTTATTTATTAACATCTGTCGTGGTTGTTGCTGTTATTGCTGTTGTTGTTGCTGTTGTTGCTGCTGCTGCTATTCTTGCTGTTGCTGGCGGTATTTTTCCCTTTTACTTACTTTTCTTGTATTTATGGAATGTTTTTCATCTCTGTGCAATATCCGCTGCATTTATTGTTACTGCCAATTTGCTGTTTATGATTTTTATAGCACTTCCACGCGACTAAACAAATTCCATAAAATTCATACATAAATCTATTATGAAGCAATCGCAATACGTTCAACTTTACCATTGTTCACTTGCCTCTATTAAGTGACTTTTTATGACGAGCTCTAAAAATTCGACAGACGGCGAGCACGTGCAAAATGAGTAAGAGAAAAACATAGATAGCTATGTGCTGTATTCCAGGCAGAAATGACATCAGAATCGGGCACAATTTACCATGTTTTACAAATCGAGGTAGTACTATTTCCATCACCTGCTGCGATGAAAACATTGTCACGTGAGTGACCAAATGAACTGATATAAGTATGCCATGAAAACTAAGTGTACTGAATCATGTTCATTCAGAATTGAGCTTAGTAGCTGAGCAAGGCAATCTATACTTTTTTAAGTCTATATATACTCTTTCTCTATCCACAAATACAGCCCAAAATACCCCAAGTAATAATTGAATAGAATCACACTATAGGCTTTAATCTTTTTGAAACTTCAGCCTCTTTTTTGTAATCTGTGACAATTTGGTTCCCATATACAGCTATTTCTGTGAAAAGCAAATGTTTTTCGTTTTTAATAAATTAATAGAGAAGACCAAGAGTAAATTGGGTTTGTAAAGTTTTGAGTTTATAGCACTAAAACTGATCTAAATAAACTATCTAACGCTTTAGCGGCAGGTCCGTTGAGAAGATTTGAAATGACCTCGGTTGTTGTTTCAATTTTCCACTATTGGAATTTTCCGCCATCGCAGCACATCTCTTTCGCTTCGTTATTGAACTTGAAAGCACGGTGTTGGGTGTACGGGTGTACAATCTTGTCAATGACAATATATCGACCTGGAGTGGAATCAACAGCTACGTAGATTGGAATGGAATGCAAGCCGATTGTATTACAGGGCTATAGCTGTATTTTCAGCTCATGTAAAAACCTCCAACACATGCAACAGAAGTCTGGATTGCATGCACACAATCAGGACTGTAGAGAATAAGCTGTTTGGCAGAAACCAACAGGATTTTTGTAAATTTTGCTTATATTCCGATATTTTAGTTAAACATAAACTAAAGGCAAAAGCATAACTTTTTATTTCTACGTGATTATCAAATAAGTCCTCAGCTCAGAAACTTTAATAAACAGATAGGGTGAATATCGGAAAACATTCTGTGAATTCTTGACGAAGAGAATGTATGATAGGGTTATTATCAGGGACCGTAACGATTATAATTTTTATAGCAAAAAATTAAAAAATAATAAT